GCGATGATGGGCTCAAGTATAGTAGGGATTGTGGGGCTGGCACGGGATTGGGCAGTGTTTCGTTCTGCTGTGCATGGGGTCGCTATGAGTCAGAAATGACTCGACGGCACTTAACAACAACAACAACAATGCCTGGGATGTTCATCTTTATGCATTATGTTTTATTTCTGACAACCTCAATTTTCCTACATTCATACTTCATGCATTTCATGGACTGATTAATGAATGTTTACAGCGGTTTCTTCCATTTTTGAATTGTGTCCCAGCAGCAAATGAAGGTCTTAAAAGCTTACTCCATCCACATTATGAAGGTCAACTCCAATTTGGGGAGGCAGCTCTTCCCCAGTTGTATTTTGAGTGCCCTCTAACTTGAGTGGCTCATCTTTTGGCACTATATCAGATAATGTTTCACTGCTATTCATGAAGTTTTCCAGTAATATATAAGACAGTGTTTCAGTGCTATTCATAGCATTTTTGGTGGCCAATTTTTTTTAGAAGTGGATGGCCTGTCCTTCTTCCCAGTCTATCTTATTCTGGAAACACTGGTGAAACCTGTCCATCGTGGGTGACCTTGCTGGTATTTGAAATACCTGTGGCATAGCTGCCAGCCTCACAGTAACATAAGCCACCACAGTGTGACAAACTGACAGATGAGGGGTGGGGATTGAATTTTGTCCCCCTAAAACATGTTGAAAATCCTAATCTTTAGCCCTGTTTTTATAATCCTATTTGGAATGGGTTGTCTTTGTTATATTAATTAAGCAGTATTAGTATAGGATTTAGGATCTCTGGTAGTATAGTGCCTAAGGCACTTGACTGCTAACCAGAGGTCTGGCAGTTCAAACCCACCAGCCACTCCTCAGAAGAAAGGTTGGGCTATCTACTTCTGTAGTGATACCACCTCAGAGGGGTTGCTATGGGTTGGGTCCAACTTGACAGCACATAACAACAATAACAACAGTATAGGCATAAAATTAAGTCAATCTCTTGAGATATAAGAGATTAAACAAACAAGCAGAGACACATCAAGCCACATGAAGATTTCTCAGAAACAGAAGCTCAGAAGAGATAAGGAACTTCCTCTAGAGTTACAGAGAAAGAAAGCCTTCCCATAGGGGCAGAGCTCTGGTGGAGTAGTACTTAAGGTATTTGACTGCTAACCAGAAGGCTGGTGGTTCAAACCCACCAGCAACTCCTCAGAAGGAAGGTTGAGCAATCTGTACAGACCAGGAGGCTGTCATTTGAACAGAACAAGGGAAAACTGCATGGTTTAAAATCAGGAAGGGAGTGCGTCAGGGTTTTATCTTTTCACCGCACTTATTCAATTTGTATGCTGAGCAAATAATCCAAGAAGTTGGATTATATGAAGAAGAATGTGGCATCAGGATTGGAGGAAGGCTCATTAATAACCTGCAATATGCAGACGACACAACTTTGCTTTCTGAAAGTGAGGATGACTTGAAGCATTTACTGATGAAGAGTGAAGAATGCAGTCTGCAGTATGCATTACACCTCAATATACAGAAAACAAAAATCTTCACAACTAGACCAATAAACAGCATCATGATAAATGGAGAAAAGATTGAAGTTGTCAAAGATTTCATATTACTTGGTTCCCTTATCAACACCAATTGAAGCAGCAGTCAAGACATCAGACTTCATATTGCATCGGGCAAATCTGCTACAAAAACCTCTTTCAAGTGCTGAAGAGCAAAGATATGTCCTTGAAGACTAAGGTGTGCCTAACCTAAGCTATGGTATTTTCAATCGTCTCTTATGCATGTGAAAGCTGGACAATGAATGAGGAAGACTGAAGAAGAGTTGATGCTTTTGATTTGTGCTGTTGGCAAATAATTCTGAGAGTACCATGGACTGCCAGAAGAATGAACAAATACGTCCAGGAGGAACTGCAGCTGGAATGCTCCTTCGAGGTGAGAATGGTCAGATTTCTCATCTACTTTGGTCATGTTGTCAGAAGGGACCATGATATCCTTCAAGAAGGATATCATGCTTAGTAAAGTGAAGGGTCAATGGAAAAGGGTGATGCTCTGGATTGAGACAGTGGCTACAACGATGGGCTTAGGTATAGCAGTGATCGTGAGGCTGGCACAGGACCAGGCAGTGTTTTGCTCTGTTGTACATAAGGTCACTATGAGTCAGAGATAACTTGACGACACCTAACAACAACAACAACAACAAGAAAAACTCTATTTTCAAACAAAGTTATGGGTAGCAATGTATCTTTTTTGGGTATACAATTTATAAAATGTGTGCACTATTAGGCAGTGGGTGGCACTGAAATGGGTGGAGACTGGCTGAACAACATGTTTGGGGAAAAAATCAAGAGTTTTGATTGAGATACGTTGACTTTCAGAGGCCTATCAGATAGCCAAATGTGGTCAAATGGTCAGGTAAATATATGAGTCTGGAGTTCAGGAGAGAGGTCAGGGTGGAAGATGTTAAGTTGAGAGTGATCCCCAGAGATGACATTTAAAACCTTGAAACTTGGCATCACCTAGGGAAAGAGGATAATTAGAAAAGGGGAAGAGGAAGAGTCCACAAAAAGTCTGACAAGATTGAAGTAACAAATTTAAATAAATATGACCTGTTTGCCCTACAGTGAATCATATATACTTCTCTAAATTGTTCAAAAATATGTGTTAATAGGTACTAATGTTGCAGCAAACAAAGAATTCTTTCCCTTTGCATCTTTCTATGCCAGTGGGGAATATTTGTCTTGTTCTTTAGTCTGAACCACATATATAAGAGTTTGTTCATTTATTTTTACCTTATTTCTAATAGATGTTTGCCAGGAGTCTTGTTAGGCAAATGCAGTATGATGTGCCAATTCTCAATTGCTTACATGTGGGTATCGTGAATTTTTCATCGCAAGTCAGTTTTCCATTTCAAGACTTGCTTTCCTGCCATTGTAAACTGCATACATTAACTGAAAGCGCTTTTTATGGATTAGGGAAGCGAGACAAAAAAAATATGATGTATGAGACACACAGACAACTATGTCCAAATTAAATTATGTTTACGTTCTCTGAATGCCTCTCTCCCCATTAACTGGAGTATTTTCACATGCTAATTCTATAGTAGAAGCTCTGGTAGTGTAGTGCCTATGGCATCTGACTGCTAACCAGAAGCCTTGTGGTTCAAACCCACCAGCCACTCCTCGGAAGGAAGGTTGGGCAATCTACTTCCATAGTGATACCGCCTCAGAAACCCAAGGAGGGGTTGCTATGAGTCAGGTCTGACTCGACAGCACATAACAAAAACAACAACAACAATTCTATAGTACTGTACCAATAATCACTCAAACATTGCTTTAAGGTAAATAATCTCCCTGAATCATTAATTTATTTTACCACTATGAACAAAGAGGTAACATTTTATGGTACTTTTGGCTAACATAGAATTGATTCAATATAGATCTAAAATTATAAAAACCCAAACCAAACCAAACTCATTGTGTCAAGTTGGATCCGACTCATAGCGACCTCTCCTTGGATTTCCAAGGTGGTATCACTACAGAAGTAGATTGCCCAACCTTCCTTCTGAACTGCCAGCCTTCTGGTTAGCAGTTGAATGCCTTAGGCACTATGCCACCAGAGCTCCCAAAATTATAAAAGTTGCTTTAAATATTCTTTTCCATGATCATGGAATTATCATGGGAAAGAATATTTATTATGAAATATTACCAGGTGAGTCCAAAAAATTTAAAATGAAAAAACAAAACAAACAATCAAAAAAGAACTACTCTGCTCACTGGCAGGTTTTTTTTTTTTCTTCAACAGGAAATTATCTCATTCAAGACTAGTTCAGCTTTACGGAGTGTGTATACAGCAGAAGCCCCTTTATATTGTGACGGAGTTTATGGAAAATGGTTGCCTGCTAAACTATCTCAGGGAGAGAAAAGGAAATCTTAGAAAGGAGGTGCTACTGAGTATGTGCCAGGATATATGTGAAGGAATGGCATATCTGGAGAAAAACTGCTTTATTCATCGGGATTTAGTAAGTATTATTGTGCAACTTCACTTAATATTTTATGTGCTGGACTTTTATTCAGAAGCAAATTATAATTATTTTCAATACTTTAATAATGTGTCTTTGGCTAAATTTTTTAATTTTTCTATTCATGCAGCTTGTGACATGTAATGTTTGTTTTTATTGCCCATTGATGCTGTAGCCAAGTAAGGTTTACCTCCAAATATGCCTCAAACTAATTAATCACTTAAATAATCAACTAACCAAAACTAATTGTATTTTCTCTCCCTCTTTTCTTCCTTATCTTCATTCTTCTTTGCCTCCTTTTAATCTTTCTTTGTTTCAACCAAAATTCAAGTATCTGTTGAGCGCCGAGAGTATGCCAAGCAATCTACTGGCCATTGGAGATCTAATAACAAAGAAGGTTCTCAACCAGGGGTTGTACCGGTGGTTCTCAATCAGGAGCAGAACTGTCCCCATGTAAAGGTGGTTTGGTCTTAATAGTATGGAGAGACAATTATTGGTTATGATGGTGTTGCTAAGTGCCATCAAGTCAACTCCAACTCATTGCAACACTATTACAACAGAACTAAATACTGCCCCATTGTGCTCCATCCTAACAATACTTTTTATATTTGAGCCCATCTGTGGTAGTTAAGTTGTGTGTCAACTTGGCTTGGCCTGGTTGAGCAGCTGGGTAGCTGGATGTAGTTATTCTCCATGATGAGACTGGTAGCTGCCTTAGGGAATGTGGTCTGCTTCCAGTATATAAACAGAAGCATTGAGAAAGGTCTCTGAAGTTTTTTGGCATGCTTGGACTCTGCATGTAGCCAAGTATTCAGCAGTCTGCCATGTTGTCTGCCAATTTTAGGATGGTTGCTGAACTTGAACTGGTGGCCTGCCGTGTTGTGTGATAATCTTGGGCTGTGCTATTTTACTTGTCAACCTTAGGCTTGTCAATCTCAGCAGCAAGCAGCTGCCTGAGTAAAGAGACACCTCCAGCTCTAGTGAGCCAGGAGCAAGAGGTAGAGCTGAAGCCCAAAGTCGAGGGGCCTTCACCCAGCCTCTAGAGCTGCACTTTGATCTCAGACTTCTAGCTTCCTCAGTGGTAAGAGAATAAATTATTGTTTGTTAAAGCCACCAATCTGTGGTATATCTGTTATAGCAGCACTAGGTAGCATAGTGCCTAAGGCAATTGACTGCTCACCAGAAGGCTGGCGGTTCAAACCCACCAGCCACTCCTCGGAAGGAAGGTTGGGCAATCCTACTTCCGTAGTGATACTGCCTCGGAAACCCAAGGAGGGGTCGCTATGAGTCAGGGCTGACTCGACAGCAAATAACAACAGGTAACCAGAAAACCATCCTTGCAGCCACTGTGTCAATCCATCTTGTTGAAGGTCTTCCCCTTTTTCACAGACCTTCTGCTTTACCAAGCATGATATCCTTCTCCAGGGAATAGTCCCTTCTAACAATATGACCAAAGCAGGTGAGCCAAAGTCTGGCTATTTGCACTTCCAAGGAGCATTCTGGCCGTACTTCTTCCGGAACAGATTTGTTCGTTCTTCTGGCGGTCCCTGGTACTTTCAGTATATTTCACCAACACCATAATTCAAAGGCATCCACTCTTCTTTGGGTTTCCTTATGCATTGTCCAGCTGTTGCATGCATATGAGGTGACTGAAAATACCATGGCTTAGGACATAGGAATACCTTAGGCTTCAAAGTAACATCTTTGCTTCTTAACACTTTTAAGAGTTCTTTTGCAGCAGATTTGCCCAATGCAATATGACATCTGATTTCCTGATGATTGCTGTTTCCATGAGTGTTGATTGTGTGTCCAAATAAAATGAAATCCCTGCTAGCTTCAAGGAATAGAAATGCTAGGTCATTCTGAACTGTAATGCTTCAGATAGATTACCTTGCCCCAAATGCAATTAACTCTGCTTCCCTGCCTTATCACCTGCCCTTGTAACCCTATGGACTCCACATTTATTCATGATATTCATGTTGTTCGTTCTGTGTCCTTCCATGTCTCATTTCTAAGAGAACTTGAGAATTCTATGAAAGTTCTCTGATATTCTTATGTAGATGTAATCCTATGCTTCTGTCATACATGATCAAGATGACCATATTATTTATCATTCAAGCTGAAGTATTTTGGGGAGAGAAAGGAAGTGCTATGGAAAATTACATTGACCCTAGCATACCATTGGGAAGTATGCTTATTCTATACATGAGTTAGAACTCTCATTGCTATTTATTACTTCATGTAGCATTTAATGTTCACACAAATAGTAGACCCTAAACTCCTTGATATCAGGGCCTAGAGTTCTGAGATGTGACATGGTGTGGTAAGAATGCATGTTGCACAGCAGTAGTTCTCAAAAATCACCTATGAAGTTTTTAAAACCTCCCAAACCCACACCATACCCCGCCCCAACCAATTCAATCAGAATATTTGTGTTTGGAATTCAGGAATCAATATTTTTTTGAAAAATTCTGGTGATTCCAATGGGCAGTCAAGGTTGAGAATCACTGCTCTAGAACCAGACTGCCTGGGTTCAAATCTTGCCTTTGCTTCTTACTATATATTACCCTGGGCAAGTTAACTAATAAAGAGATATTATTTATAGCACCTCCCTCATTAGGCTTATTGAGAAGATTATAGAATTTAATATGTATAAGCACTTAAAATAGTAACTGGTACATAGAAGAGCTCAGAAATGTTAACTATTGCTGTTATATAGATCAATGTTTTTCATTCTTCATAGCACATTTCCTAGTATCCAGCACAAAGTAGGTATTGAGTACACTTTTGAGTCCATGGAGATAGTATCAATTCCATTTAGCTCACTTTCCTAGTTTCTGTGGGTTTATCTTTTCTGATAAGGATTAGAATTCAAAACTCAGTCAGAAGACAGTTTTGAAAATTCTGTTTGCTCCATGTTGCTTCTCATAAACCCTCCTATCCTTGATTTCTTCCTTTATCACTTTTCTTCTTTGCTTTCAAATTTTATCCACCTACATACTCTTAAACTATGTGAGCTAGCAATGAGTCAAGGATTTGTCTTTGTGATTTGGCTTTGAGATCGTTGTAGAATTTGCTGGCATCTTACAGACTGGCTCCTCCTAGCTTACCATTTCAAATTTCTTGCTTGTGTTGCAACACTAACAAAACCACAATTTAGTTGAAAATAGAAAAATTCCATCAAATAGCTCACCTATATGGGACTAAAAAAAATAAATAAATTACTTTCTTGACCAAGTTGACTGAAAAGAGCTTGTTTAGGCATCAAATAGATCATCTGTGCATTATGTACTTCTACTCCTCATTTATCACCATGGTTGGGTTCCAAAGCCAGGCTGTTACTTGAAAATTGGTGTTATGTGAAGATGGAGGATCACTACATCATTGTATAACTGCTGAATTACATCATTACATAGATGCCATTTTTTTTCCTATTGTCATAAATGCAAAACGTATGATAATGAGATAGTTCCTAAGTGAGTAGTAGGTGTAATACTTGTTGTTGTTGTTGTTGTTGTTATGTGCCATCGAGTTGGCCCTGATTCATAGCAACCCCTCCTTGGGTTGCTGAGGCAGTATCACTATGGAAGTAGA